ATGTTTTTTATTCATATTCGAGACTATCCACAAAGTTACGTTTTATTGGTGGTTTTTTCTATCCCTGAAAAGTGAGGAGACAAAAACAAAGAACGAAAATGAAGCAAAGTTCAACAGAAGCGCAACGAAAAGCAGTTGGAACAGACCGTCGAGAACGTCTAAGAATTTTCGATTGCCTTTTCTGGAAGTAGTGGAAGCAGCCGGCTCGTTTTTGGCAATGATTTTACCACGATGCGGTGGCTAGTTCTTCAAGATGCATACCTTAGGAGAACTAAGTTTCACGCCAGATGCTCAGTCACGCGTAACGCGGGCGTATCGCTTCAAGCTGCTAAGATAGGAAGCTCGTTCAGGGATGTACAAAAATAGCTTTTCGCAGAGAATCATATCTTTCTGGAACAGCCTCCAGCCGATGTAGGTAACTCTATGTCGGCCCGATACCACGTGATCCTTGGTAAAGTTGATGGACACACTATGATGGTATCCGGAGCCGCTCTGCTGTTCACGCGAGTTGCAATATTGGTGGGCCACAGCTTTCTACCACCAGATGTCTGTCCGTTTCACAACTCAAAGGCTCCGCGCTCTTTCGCCATCACAGATAGTGATTAAGGGTTTGAATATAGACGACAAGGTGCTGAGTAAGCTCGATAGTGAACAAAAAAAGCAGAAAAACATGCCACCTGCCCTAGATAGAACCCCATTTCGATCCCAGTTTGTACGTGCCCAATGAACTCCATCTCCAAAACTACGCCCTCATCCTGCACAGCTGATTATAAGAACTCTACGACCGTACAAGTGACGATTTTCATGCTTTTTCGTCCTGCAGCTTCGTTTTTCACTGAAAGGCGGGCCTTGAAGGCGGAGTCTGGAGGCGGAGTCACTGGAAAAAGGAGGCGTCACTGAACCTATATTGCGCTATAGCGCCCCTCCCTTACAATTTTTTGCCGCGAAACCGGTACAAGGTTGTTCGTCGCGGACCACACTACCCTCCCGACGCCATATTTTCAACTTCTATACCTGATCGCGGACAGTGCCTTTAATTTCATGTTGCCGCTTATTAGATTCATGTTACTGCTCATTAATTAATTTGTTGCTGCCTATCGGTCATTGTCTTTCATAACTACGTTGTGTGGGCTTCACTAACCGATAATAAATCATAATCACAATCACCTTGCGAAGGTTCCCTGCGCTTCCGTTACGTGGGGTCGTCTCCCACATTCACTGTGAATAAGTCTTACATTGAGCAGGGTCTTCGCGATGACGCGTGTCATCGCGAAGTCTGAAGACAGCTTTCTTAAAACTCGAACGCGTTGCGATCACTACGCGCGCAAACATTTAATATAATGCTGGAAGCTGGAACGAGCTTTTGTTCCCAAAGAAACTTTTTCAAAAAAGGTATGTAACAGATGTGTCAATAAAAAAGGAGTAGAACTGGAGGACCTCA